GCGGTGCGCTGCGGGCCTCGCCCAGGGGGGGAGGCCGCGGGAGGGAGAGAGCTCGGGAAACTGGCAGCCTGAGGCCTGGTCTGGAATCCCGCGCTGGGGAGAGGCCCGGTTTTATAGAAAGGTAGAGGTGTAAAAGAATTCAAATCTGCGCGTGTCTCCCCGGGAGGGAGGCCCGGGAGCGAGGCGGGGGAGGGCTGAGGAGAGACCGGGTCCACCACCTGCCCGCCCGCGCAAAGGGGCCGTGACAGGCCGGAGGCTTTGGCCTTCCTCCCCCGCGGGCCTTGCAACTTCAGGTCCTGCAGGGAAGAAAAGGGAACCTTCGAAGCACGAACCCTTCCCAGTGCGAGTGTTTGAACACTAAATATAAGAATATACATAATATATATATGTGAGAAATATATTTGTATGTCAATTCTGTGTATGTGAAAACTTCTGTCACTGCCTCTTCGCCCCCTCAGGAGGACGGACGAGTCCGGCGGAGGAAGGAAGAGGAGCTCCAGAGGAGCGGAGGGAGCCCAGCCGAGGAGCCCTGCCCGGTCCAGGGCGCAGCTCCCGCGGGAGACGGCGGGGAAAGGCGCGGAGGCTGCGGGGCTGCGGAAGGGCCGCCCCAGAGGAGATGATCCGGAGCCAGGAGGGACCCCGTGAGAGGAGGATGCCCGGAAAGAGAGGTGGGAAGGAGGAAAAGGTCAACATCCCCGGAGAAGCCAAGACGTGCCTGGAGTGCGGAGAATCCTTCAGAACAAACGAAAGTCTCCAACGTCATGAAAGAATCCATTCCGGAGAGAAACCATATAAATGCTTGGAGTGCGGAAAGAGTTTCACTAGAAATGAACATCTTAAACGCCATCAAAAAATCCATACAGGAGAGAGACCTTATAACTGCCTGGAGTGTGGAAAGAGTTTCAGTCTGAAGGGAAGCCTTCATACACATCAAAGGATCCATTCAGGAGAGAAACCATATAAATGCTTGGAGTGTGGAAAGAGTTTCATTAGAAATGAATATCTTAAAAGCCATCAAAGAATCCATACAGGAGAGAGGCCTTATAACTGCCTGGAGTGTGGAAAAAGTTTCAGCCTGAAGGGAAGCCTTCTGAGACATCACAGAATCCATTCAGGAGAAAAACCCTATAAATGCCTGGAGTGTGGAAGTAATTCCATCAAAAAATCCATACAGGAGAGAGGCCTTATAACTGCCTGGAGTGTGGAAAAAGTTTCAGTCTGAAGGGAAGCCTTCTTAGACATCACAGAATCCATTCAGGAGAGAGACCTTATAACTGCCTGGAGTGTGGAAAGAGCTTCAGTTGTAGGGGACACCTTTACAGACATCAAAGAATCCATTCAGGAGAAAAACCCTATAAATGCCTGGAGTGTGGAAATAGCTTCAGTCTGAAGGGAAGTCTTGATACACATCAAAGAATCCATTCAGGAGAAAAACCCTATAAATGCCTGGAGTGTGGAAATAGCTTCAGTCTGAAGGGAAGTCTTGATACACATCAAAGAATCCATTCAGGAGAAAAACCCTATAAATGCCTGGAGTGTGGAAATAGCTTCAGTCTGAAGGGAAGTCTTGATACACATCAAAGAATCCATTCAGGAGAAAAACCCTATAAATGCCTGGAGTGCGGAAGGAGCTTCAGTTGCAGCGGAAACCTTTATATACATCAAAGAATCCATTCAGGAGAAAAACCGTATAACTGCTACGAGTGTGGAAAGAGTTTCAGGCACAGGGGAAACCTTTATAAACATCAAAGACTCCATTCAGGAGAAAAACCCTATAAATGCCTGGAGTGTGGAAAGAACTTCAGTGTGAAGGGAAGCCTTCATAGACATCAAAGAATCCATTCAGGGGAGAGACCATATAATTGCTTGGAGTGTGGAAAAACTTTCAGTTGCAGGGGAAAACTTTATATACATGAAAGAATCCATTCAGGAGAGAAACCATATAAATGCCTGGAGTGTGGAAAGAGTTTCAGTTGCAGGGGAAGCCTTTATAGACATCAAAGAATCCATTCAGGAGAGAAACCGTATAAATACCCAGAGGGCGCAAACAGTTTCAGTCACACGGAAAGCCTTTATAGACATCAAAGCATCCATTCAGGAGAGAAACCATATAAATGCCTGGAGTGTGGAAGGAGCTTCAGTCAGAGAGGACGTCTCAGTCAACATCAAAAAATTCACAGAGGAGAAAAACCATATAAATGCCTAGACTGTGGGAAGAGTTTCATTAGAAATGAACATCTCAAAAGCCATCAAAGAATCCATACAGGAGAGAAACCATATAAATGCCTGGAGTGTGGAAAGAGTTTCAGTCTCAGGGGAAACCTTTCTAGACATCAGAGAATACATTCAGGAGAAAAACCGTATAAATGTCTGGTGTGCGGAAACAATTTCAGTTACACTGAAAGCCTTTATACACATCAGAGAATCCATTCAGGAGAAAGACCTTATAACTGCCTGGAGTGTGGAAAGAGCTTCAGTCGTAGGGGACACCTTTATAGACATCAAAGAATCCAGGAGAAAAACCATCTAAGTTCCTCGACTGTGGAAAAAGTTTCAGTGAGAGTTGAACCGTTTATACACATCAAGGAATCTGTTTGGGACTAAAACCGTATAAATGTGTGGAGTGTGGAAATAGTTTCAGTGAAAGGGAAAAGCTTTATAAACATCACAGGATCCATTTTGGAGAAAAACCGTATAAATGCCTGCAGTGTGAAAAGAACTTCAGTCAGTGGGGAAATCTTTATACACATCAAAAAATCCATTCAGGAGAGAAACCATATAACTGCCTGGAGTGTAGAAAAAGCTTTAGTCAGGACATCTCAGTCAACATGAAAGAATTCACCCTGGACAAAAACCGTATAAATGTCTGGAGTGTGGAAAAAGCTTCAGTGAGAGTAGAAGCATTTATTCACATTAAAGAATCCAATCAGACGAGAAACCGTATAAATGCCTGGAGTGTGGAAGTAATTTCAGTCATAGGAGAAACCTTTATAGACATCAAACAATCCAGGAGAGAAACCATATAAATGGCTGGAGTGTGGAAAACATTTTACTAATAGTGGACATCTCAGTTAACATCATAGAATCTGCATAGGAAAGAAACCCTATAAATGCATAGAATGTGGGAAAAGCTTCAGACAGACTGAATGTTTCAGAGTTCATCAAAGAGTTCACACTGGAGAAAAACCCTATATGCCTGAAGCGTAGAAAAGGTTTCAGTCAGTTAGGACATCTCAGCCAACATCAATGAATTCACACAGTAGAAAGACCGTATAAATGTCTGGAGTGCGGAAAATCCTTCACAACAAATGTAAGCTTTAACTATCAGAGAATCCAGATAAATGCCTAGAGCGTGGAAAGAGCTTTAGCGACAGTGGACAACTTCGTTGACGTGAAAGAATTCACACTGGAGAAAAACCCTATAAATGCCTCGAGTGTGGAAAGAGCTTTACTGAGGGTTGCTCCCTCAGTCAACATCAAAGAACTCACACAGGAGAAAAGCAGTAGAAATGCCTGGACTGTGGAAGGAGTATCAGTAAGAGGGGACTCACCTTTATTGACATCAAAGAATCGGTTCAGGAGAAAAACCTTATATACACCCGGGGTGCGGAAGGAGGTTTACTGAGAGTGGACACCTCAGTCAAGATCAAAGAATTCACAAAAGAGAGAAACCCTATAAATACATGGAGCGTGGAAAGTTTCAGTGAAAAGAGTACACCTCAAAGCTCATCTGAGAATCCACACAGGAGAGAAGCACTATAGATGAATTAGAGGGTGGAAAAAACTTCAGTCAGAGGGGATCTCTCAGAAGACATCAAAGAATTTGCACAGGGGAGAAACCGTATAAATGCCTGGAGCGTGGGAAGAGCTTTACGAAGGGTTGGCACCTCAATAACATCATGAATCCACATGGGGGAGAAACCATATAAATATGTGGAATGTGTAAAG